TGTACACGATAAGTAGTCGAAATAATGCTTCGATTTTCGACTTCAGTATCTTGTTCGATTGGAAAGTGAATATCGTTGGTGCATTGGGGAGGTCAAAATTTAAAATTCCCAATAGTTTTCACAAGCGCCGGGAAAAACAACATTAAAATTAAGGAAAAACAGGAATTTTTACGCAAAATCAGTTTTTGACAAAATCGAATTTGGTTTTTGGTGTAACTTTAAAACAAATGACCGTAGATACATGAAATTTTCACTGGTTGTTTATATTTGCATTTTCTATACACGATAAAATTTTCAAAATATTTTGATTTATTTTGAACTGTTTAGGGACATTTTCATTTTCCATTTTTTTTTAGTTTTTTTTCTAAAAATATCAATAAAATTTTATTTGTTGGTTGCGAAAGCTTGAAAATTTAATAGAAGGCTCCTAATATGTTGTTTCAAAGGCAGATGAAAAATATTAAAAATCCTTAGTCACAATTTTTTTTTATAAGCATATAAAGTTCAAAAATTGACAAAATATGGAAAAATCACGAAAAATAGCAAATTATTTTGAGTTAAGAATTCGTAAAAATTTTTCTTTTTAAATCTAAGATTTGAAAATGAAACACAAGATTCCTTATAAGATTATCTACCTTTATCAATAAAAAAATCTCTACCGGACAGTCAAATTAAATTTTTATGAGCGTTTGAAATTCAAATTTGTACAACATTGGATTTTCACTCGATTACTCATGTAGCGATTTCCTTATTTTGTTGCAATTCAAAAACGAACAACTGTAGATACATGAAAATTTCACTGAATGTTTAAATTAGCATTTTCTATACACCATACAATTTTGAAAATATTTTGACTCTTTTTGAGCTGTTTATGGACATTTACAGCTTTCAATTTTTTTTAGTTTTTTTTTCTACAATTATCAATAAAGTTTTATCTGTTGGGCCAAAAAGTGTAAAAATTTAATACAAGGCTCCTGATATATTGTTACAATAGCAGTTGAAAAATATTAAAAATACATAGGCACAGTTTTTTTTTATAAGCATTTAAAGATCAAATTTTGACAAAATTTATCAAAATCTCGAAAATTATCAATCATTGTAATTAATAAATTATAAAATGTTCAGTTTTTATAGCTAAGGATTACAAATTCAACACAAAGGTTCTCATAAATAGTTCATACTATAACCAAAAAATCTAAAAAATATATGAACACACTTATTTTTTACAGACATTTTAAATTCAAATTTGGACGAAATTACATATTAAAAAACCTAGAATAACTATTTTAGTTATTTTGTTGTGATTGAATAATATTATTCGTGGGTACTTGAAACTTCTAAAGTGTACTATTATATATCTATGATAGTTTTACGGTTTTTGTTGATGTATAACGCGTTATAAGTATCTAATGGATATTGTGATATGATTAATTTGGAATTTATTATAGGTACCTATTATAGGTCAATTTTTTGTATAATACCATAGATATGTATATAATATGTCTTATACATACACTGACATACCGTCACCGCTCAGAATCGTTTTTCTTATACAATGATATTATATCATTGAATTCAAATTTAATACCATCCAAAATACAGTGACCCACTTGTAACCTACTGTACAGCAGAGCGACACCCACTTGCCCACCTTTTTTTTAATTTTTATTTCACATTTTAATGAATGACGACATTTTAATTTTTCAAAATTAAGCAAAATAGTTTTTTAGAGTATTTTGGTACATATAAATCGAATTATAAAAGAGTAGTTGATAAAATATGAGTATTTAAAGTTTAGATGAGTGATAAAAAATATAGAGTAGTACAGAGGTTCTCCTGATAATATTGGACCACTACTCCACTCATCTAATCATAGATAATTATAAGTATTGAACTACTCGATCAAAATTGGAATTTTTGGAAAAAATCCTTTTGTGATGAAACATACTGCAAAATTCAATTTCTTTTATCTTATCGTGACTGGCAATAGTATTACAATAAAATATAATAATACTACTAAACAACTAAGGGTATTTTTTACAATCACCAATTCAATCTTTTTTTTCTTTTAGAACACATTTGTAAAAAATACTTAAAGAAATTGATTCTCACATTTGAACATTTTGTGTTGATTGCGATTTGGTCTTGTCAAACATACGATTTTTTTCGCATTCAGATTTATAAATAATTCCGTTTACAAGGCAACAAAATAATGGATAGTATCTTAAAGCGTATCACGTCATGGCAATAAAGAGATCATAGAGAGTTTGAGGTTACAAAATCGGACCCTTATCGTCTGTTTGTTTTTCTTGTAACGTAAGGAGTTCCTTATAAAAATAAAATCACTACCCCATACGATCCGTTTTTGGCGTATACCATCAGTCTCTAAATTATCTATGAGTGTATCTGCTCGAGTGAACTACCCAAATTTGTTTTATTGCCTTTATCTAAAGAGGAGAGGCTATGGCCAACACATACATCATTCACTGTACAAATATATTTGCAATAATATTATAAAATCAACCAGGAAATATATCGTCGGCTAAGACGTAATACCTCGTAAGTAAAAAACAAAGGTATTTTGAAATGTACCCACGAATGTGGTGTAGCTAAATTGCCTATCCAGAACGCCGTGTTACCACAGTTGAAAAACTTGAAAATATATTATTAGATACGTCTAATGAGGCACAGAAGAAATGGTCACGTATCAAATGGTGAAAAAAAGAAAAAGATGCATCGATAGTATGCACTGGTAGTATATACGTATAACTGTGCAAATAATAACTGTCTAGCAATCAGATTTCAAGTTTTTTTTTTTTATTGAACAAAAAATGTATATACAATCTGTAATTACAATATATTATATTATCATGAGTAATTTTTATGAGGATGATTTACGCTAGGGGGAAGTTACCTATTGGTGACACCCTATCAAGCAATCAGACTTAAAAATATTTTTCTTTCGGCACCTACGATTATTATCCAATGTCTGTTCTCTCGAGTATAGTACCAGCTGTACCTACTAGGTATATAATACAATATTCATGAGCAATTTTTTACTCTTAAAATTTATCTAAACATATTATTACATGTGGCAACTATTATAGTATCCAGCCGTGTCGTATAATATTGGTTTGGAGTTTCACCGAATCTGCACCGGCGCCGGCCATCTCGACCACCTCGTCGAAAACATAGATTCTACCCTAACTGGATTCGTCCAGGGACCCGTTTCACGGACTCTCTATCGTGTTATTCACGGATCGATAGGACCAAAAACCATATGTTATCGACGTAGATCTGCGAACACACGCAAAGGCCCGTCCTGAAAGGTCTACGTAATAATAATAATAACAATACCTAATATTTATATTAATAATATACTCGTGTATATTAGACGTCGCAATGTATCATCATTAGAATATCGTCGTGTGTACAAGGCGGGACGAGAAGAGGTTCTACAGTGGAGCCGGCGTGAAAAGTGCAGGGGGCGAGGGGCAGAGGGTAAAAAATCTCTTTTCGCGCGCGCAACGCGGGCGACTGTCTCCCGTGCGTTTTCGCGTCGCTCGTGCTCGGCGGCGTCCGCTGCCGCCGTTTTTCGAGTAACCGTCGAGCCGCCGCCACCGCCGTCAGTTCGTCCCGACCCGTCGTCCCTGTCGCGCGCGCCGCCACCGACGACGACGACGACGACTCTTCATCCATTAAATATCGCACACATTTCGCCGCCACCGCCATCGTCCCAGTGACCGATGGCCAAACCCGGTGCGCTAAGCCCGCGCCGGGCCCACTGCACGCTCAACTGTTACACTTGCAACAACATACTGCAACAGCGGTACAGACACAGTGAGTAAAAACCACCCCCACCACACGCTCCTCTGATCATCTCATTGTTGTCTATCCAAAACCCTCATTGCACCATCGCCACCACCACCACCACCACCATAACCACCCTTACCGTAATTTAAGTCCGTGGTGTCTTTCGGGCTTTTGAGGATTTTTATTTAAAAAAAATTCCTCCGCAGCGATGGATGATATGCCATTTGTGTATTTTTGGCTACTTGCCCTAATATTGTAACGTTCCTGCGTCAAGGCGTCGCCTCATGAATCACAACGATGTATATATAAAACATCCATATTATAATATATTTTATATGATTCTCGGCCGGTGTCGATAATTTATATGTTATATTGTGTCGTTAGAGCTTGAAAACCCAACACGCACATGTCCCATTATATTATATTACATTTCCGTTTCCGACTGTATACAAATACGCATTATATATTATATAGGTTGACACGTTTTTTGTTACTATAATATAATACACTTCTAGGTGTACACGCCGAATAGCCATTGTCCACCGGGAACTTGTA